CCCAGAAATAAATCCATGCCTATATGGCCAATTTATGACAAAGAAGGTAAGAATATACAATGGGATAGTCTATTCAATAAATGGTCTTGGGGAAACTGGACAGTAACATGCCAAACAATGAAGTTAGACCACTTTCTTATATCATATTATCCTATATAATAAGAGGTGATATGCAAATTGACCCTCACGCCCTCAACGCAGATGGCTGCCCCACATCATCACAAGATGGCCGCCACAAGACGGCTGGCAGTGGAGGGCAGTTGGGGGTGATCGGGCCAGCAGGGGAGGGCAGTTAGGGGAAATCGGCCCAGCAAGCGAGCCGTTAGGTGTCAATTATGTCATCAGGGGAGCAGTTAGGCATCAATTAGGCTGGCAGGGGAGTGGTTAGGGGCAGGCAGGCAGGCAGGCGAGTGGTTAGGAGCCAGCAATCTCAGATTGTGAGAGGGATGTCCAACTGCCTGCTTAGGCCTGATCCCAAGGCAGCTGGACATCCAAGGAGGGGATCCAAGATTGGAGAGGGTGCAGGCTGGGCTGAAGGACATCCCCCCCATCCCATGCATGAATTTCATGCACAGGGCCTCTAGTACAAAAATAAACTCAAAATGGATTACAGACTAAATGGAAAACCTGAAACCATAAAACTCCTAGAGGAAAACAGGCAATTAGCAATATTTTTTGGATATGTCTCCCAAGGGAAATGAACAAATTGAACTACATCAAACTGAAAAGTTTTTGTACAATACTGGAAACTGTCAACAAAACAAAAGGACAACCTGCAGAATGAGAGAAGATATTCACTAATAATACATCTCATAAGGGGTTACTATCCACACTATGTAAGGAATTCATACAACTTAATAGCAAAACCACAATCCTATTTAAAAAAAATAAGCAGGAGACCTGCATAGACACTTCTCCAGAGAGGACCTACATATGGCCAATAGACATATGAAAAGATGGTCAACCTCACTAATCAGAGAAAGGCTAATTAAAAACATAATGAGATATCCCCTCACACCTGTCAGAATGGCTACCATCATTAAATCAACAATTGTGAGGATGGGGAGGACAGGGAACCCCTGATGATGGGAATACAGATTGGTGCAGCCTCTGTGAAAGCAGTATGGAGATACCTCAAAAAACTAAAAATAGAACTGTCGTATGACCCAGCAACTTCACTTCTGGGTATTTATTTAAAGAAATCCAAAACACTGATTTAAAATTAATCTTGCCAAAACCGGTTTGGCTCAGTGGAATGAGCATCGGCCTAAGGACTGGAAGGTCCCAGGTTCGATTCTGGCCAAAGGCATGTACATTGGTTGCGGGCACATCCCCAGTCGGGGGTGTGCAAGAGGCAGCTGATCGATGATTCTCTCTCATTGATGTTTCCAACTCTCTATCTCTCTCTCTCTTCCTCTCTGTAAAAAATAAATAAATTATATTAAAAAAATAAAAATAAAATTAATCTCTGTCAGGCCAGGAGATCCCTACACAGCATGGCCCTCGGACCCTCCTGACTGGGTTCCTTGGCTCTCAGCCTGGGGCTCCCAGGAGGTGGCTCCTCCTCCCCTCTCATCCCCCTCCTCCCCAGACAAGCTTCCCTTGACATCACAGGGGCTTTTTAATTCTCCAGTTGCAATCACCCACTCTCTCCTTTTAACCATCTTGGACCAATTGGGGAAATACAGGTTTGGAAGTAAATAAGTAACTTTTATTTTGAAGTTTCCTTTTGTAATGAACTTCAGTGACATCTGAGGTGACTTTGCAAAGCACAAAACGTTCATTTCCAAATTAGCCTTGCTCTGGCTTAGTTGCTCATTTACTTCCAAAGCTGAATACTGTCCCCTTTAAAAGATTAACTTTTAGCCTTGAACCTCTTCTGCACTCTGCTGTGGGCTGTGACGTGCTGTTTCTTGCCTCATCCAGCCGTGAGTCAGGCTTCCAGTGGCTGCCTCTAGACACCACTTCCGTGAGCCCTGGAGGACCTACCTCAGAGTCAGGTTTGTGGTTGGGTGTCTCCTGTGGGCTTAGGACTGGGAAGGAGATGAGGTGGCAAGCGGGGCGAGGACAGAGGCCAGAGACTGTGTGAGGCATTGTGGCTTCTAACTGGGAACTTACAAGGTGGCCAAAAGGGATCATATTGACAGGACACTGAGGACAACCAAGGAAGGCTTCTCTTCAAAGACGCTCCAGACTGAAGACGTTACGTTTAGTCAAGTCTTAGAACCAGCGGGCAGCATACTGACCCTTAGGAGGGAGCATGCGTCAAAAAAATCTGTTCACTTGAAAAGGTTCTGAAAAATTGAAAGGTGCAGGCCCTGCCCTCAGGAGGTGGACTTGCTGCCTGGACCACCGCTTTCTGGTCGTAGGCAGAGGAAAACAGTGGCATGGCCGCTGCCAGGTTACTGTAATCATCAAGTGGAACGCTGATTAGACGAGTGCTCTGTAGATGGATTTAAATGTGTCCTTGTCTATGACCAGCTAAATGATGACACCTTTCACCTTTATGATTGGATTTTGGTTTTGTTGATGGAAGGGAGCAAAGCTGCGCATTTTAAATGCCAATGCTCTCCATGAGCCACACTTGGCTGCACAGGTTTGCTTCTTCCCTTGATGCTGAAAAGCTAGGCTGTGCGAGTCCGATCATGGTACTCAGTGTGCAAAGGTGGGCCAAGTATTTTATTCTCCCTGACCTGTAGGTTTCCCATCTGTGCAGTACAGAGCATAATAATTGTGCTTGGGGGTTATAAGGGTTGGAACATGAATGCACATAAAACAACTTACACAGCACTCAATAAATGGTTGCAATTTTATTGTCATCGTTATTATCGATACTAAGGAGCCATCTTGCTGTCTTTGTATAATCAAATTATTCCACTGCTAGAATAAGAAAATTCCCAACCTTTAAAAAACACCCAAGTGAGCATTCAGGTACCTGTTTCCTAGCATGCCTTGCATGTTCTCCACTCCCGACAGACAGCACACAATTCACAACATGACAACAAAACTGAGTCCCAAAGCTCTACTTGGGAGCCTTGTATTTAGAACTCAGCACCCATTTTCCCATGGAAAGAACGCTTTTAAAATGCAGGTTGGAGTCCCAGGCGACTGAAAATATCCAGAATTCCTAAAAAGACATGGATCATATGAATCGTACAAGTCCTGTGAAACCTTCAAAGGAAAATGACTTGTTATCTAACTGCATTAGATTAAATGGCAATATTGCAAAAGCAAGGTCTGCCTTGAGATTCTTTCCAGCCCTCATCCATGTCCTTGCCCCTTTCCTCAGTCAGGCAGAGCTCTTTGAACCTCAGATAGTAAGCACCAGATACCACAGGACGTCCTTGCTCTCAGACATTAACGTTCCTATCACTGGTACACTAGTTGTAGCTCACTGCTGTTTACCAGGAGGCAAAAAGCCTAAACAAATGGAATGAGCTTAAATTAGCTACGGTTATTCATTTGAAAAAGACTTATTCTTTCCTCTTCTTTATCTGAATGGAGATCAAAGAAAACAGGAACACAAACAAACCATTAGATGACCTAGATTGTCCCTTTAAGTCTTGTATGGATCAAACTGAAATACATAAAAACATACAGAACTAAGTCTGCCTCCCAAACTCAGGGAAAGCTTTGAACAAGGCTGTCATTCTCTTCCACTATCAGCCTTACCTCTAAGGAAAACAACGGGCTCAGTACTCTCCTGAGCTCTACGCATGCTATGAAAAGAAAAGAAAATGCATCATAATTGTGCTTTCACCCTAGGAAATTCTCTTAAATGCCACATAGCAAGTGCTTCATGTGAGTCAACTATGTGGCTGTGCACCGTGAGATTGATATTGGAGAACATCTATCTGTAAAGACTAGCAGAAGGCAGGGTGCTGGGCCTTGCTCTGTAATCATTAACTGTCTCATTCTCTTCCAATGGAGAGAGAGAGAGAGAGAGAGAGAGAGAGAGAGAGAGAACGAACTTAATGCCTGCTTCACAGGGAAGTAGATAGAAAAAACCAGTAGAAAAAGTGTGATAAAAATTGTGTTTGGTATATAAAGATGCTGGGTTATTTATTTCTAAGCAGCTTTCAGATTATATAATTCGCAATATTCTGAGTGAGGTAATTCTCAGTGAGGCTGAGCCATTTTCCTGGAACCAGACACAAGCATCACTATGCTAGCAATCTGCAGAAGGGCACTTCTGTGTGCGTGTAATGAGGGGATTTGTTGAGACATTGGGCGTTGAGAAGTGCCCAGATCTGCAGAGAATTTTTATGAGAGTTTCTCTGAGCCAAGCTGACTACATGTGCCAGGGAGCAAGATCTCAGATGCTCTAGACTCGCACATGTGTCAAACACAAGGCCCACGGGCCAAATCCGTCCCGCCAGGCCTTGCAATGTGGCCCGCACCGCGCTGTCATCACTGCGCTCCGCTGCGTTTCCATCACAATGACAGTTTATGACTGTTCAGTAAACCATTCGGCCCGCGATTTAGGCTGGATTTTAGATTTTGGCCCCTTCTCTGGTTGAGTTCGACACCAGTTTCTTTTATGCATTTGAAATTAAGGAGGGAAGGTAGGGAAGATTTACATGGAGGTGTGCTGGCTGGCTGCACCTTTGATAGCACATTTGCCTCTGTCCACGTAAAGAACACGGGGGGCTGCCCTGGCCGGGTGGCTCAGTTTACTGGAGCACCAGCCCATGCGCCCGAAGGTGACAGGTTTGATTCCCCATCAGAGCACATTCGCAGGTTGCAGGTGCGATCCCCAGATCCCTGGAGAGTGTGGGGGAGGCAGCTGATCAATGCCTCTCTCTCTCTCTCTCTCTCTCTCTCTCTCTCTCTCTCTCTCCCTCCCCCCCTCTCTAAAATAAAAATAAAAAGAACACAAAAGGTTAATCATAAATCCAAATCGTGCTGTAGCCCCCTGTGCCCTCTCCTCTCCCCTCTCCCTCTGAATTATTCTCACTGGGTTTGGTGGTTTGGTTTTGGCTTCTCCTCTGAAGGTGCAGCAATGTCCCTGGTGTGTGTGACGGACTTTGAGGCCCACGCGCGGGAGCGGCTCTCCAAGTCCACTTGGGATTACATCGAAGGAGGCGCTGGGGAAGGCTTCACCCTGCACGACAACGTCGCGGCATTCAAAAAGTCTGGTCTCCTGTATCTTTTCTGCGTTTGGACTCGGGGCCTGGTTCACAGCTCCAGGGAAGGGAGCAGGCCTGGTTTCTGCCTGCAAAGACCAGAGCAGATGTAGAATGGCTTTTGTGTTATTGGGGGGGGGGGGGGGGGCAGATGACTGGGGAGAGGAAGGTTGGAGAGAACGCCTATCTTAGTGCCTCTGCAGAACGCCCATAGATCAGTCACCCTGCCGTAGACACAGACACAGACCACAGAGGGCTTGTGGGGTCCACAGGAGAGGGGTCCGTGTGGAATCAGGGTTGGGAGAAGCTCCCTGAAGGAGAGGAGCCTCCAGTCTGCTGTGCTGCCTAGTTAGCTACCAGCCAGTGGTCCCCCACCAGAGGTTTCCGGGGGCCTAGTCTGGTCTCCGCCTGCAGCAGGAATCTGGAGGCTCCAGCACCAGGCAGCACCTCGGTGCCGGAGACAATCCCACCCACAGGAGACCTCCTTGTTCTCTCGCGCAGACTCCGCCTCCGGCCCCGGTACCTGAGAGACGTGTCGCAGGTGGACACCCGGACCACAATCCAAGGGGAGGAGATCAGCGCCCCCATCTGCATTGCGCCCACGGGTTTCCACTGCCTGGCCTGGCCCGATGGAGAGACCAGCACGGCCAGAGGTGCGGGCCAGGCCACTGAGGCCAGCGATGGGCGGGAGGCCTCCTTCACACAGGGTGGGCAGCCCCGGGGTTTCTCCAGAGAAGGGGCTGAGGGACAGCACATGGTTGGCATGAAGGAGGGTGGGGAGAGGAATGCTTAACACTGTGTTTGCATAACACCTCCCCAAAGATTGAGAAAATGCCCATTTTCACCCAGCCAGCATGGCTCAGTGGCTGAGCATCAACCTATGAACCAGAAAGTCATGGTTCAATTCCTGGGCAGGGCCCATGCCCAGGTTGTGTACTTGATCCCCAGTGTGGGGCATGCAGGAGGCAGCTGGTCAATGAGTATCTTTCATCATTAGTGTTTCTTTCTCTCTCTCCCCTTCTCTGTTCCTCTGTGAAATCAATATGAAGGTATTAAAGGAGAGAGAGAGAGAAGAAAGTAAAGAAGAAAAGAGGGGGTGGGAGGAAAGAAAAGAAGGAATCAAATTGTTATCTCCTGGTTCATAGGTCGTCACAACCATTGAGCCACACCAGCCGGACATCATCATTCATGTTCCTATCCTTCTCTCCCTTCCTGTCTCTGAAATCAATAATTTAAAAAAATATAAAAAAATATATATATATATATATATATATATATATATATATATATATATATATATATCTTAACAACAACAAAAACCACTTCTAACCCTGCCCCACAGGGCACAGAAGTAAGTCGGGCCTTCTCTTCTCCCTCAGGGCAAGTTGGCCAGAAGCAGTGCAGGTCCCGGGGCTTCCCGCCCCCGCCTGGAATGCCCCTGGCCTCCACCCTGAGTTGTGCCATTTGCTCTGCAGCTGCCCAGGCAGCCGGCATCTGCTACATCACCAGCACATACGCCAGCCGCACCCTGGAAGACATCGTCGCCACGGCGCCCAGAGGCTTCCGATGGTTCCAGCTCTACGTGCAGCGAGATCGACAGCTCAACAAGCAGCTGGTCCAGCGGGTCGAATCCCTGGGCTTCAGAGCCCTGGTAATCACCGTGGACGTGCCCAAACTTGGCAACAGGCGACATGACGTTCGCAACCAGCTGAACTTGAAGTCAAATTTACTGCTGAAGGATCTCGGGTCACCTCAGGAGGTAGGAAAGATACCAGGCCCAATGGGCGGGCATTCCAGAGGGCAAAGCCCCTTCCGGGGTTCCTCCCTTCATTCCTTCCGCAAGAATGCATTGAGCGCCTGTCTGTGCCCGGCACTGGTGATGCAGCCTGGAGCTGTCTGATCTGTCACCAGAAGTGTTCTGGCCAGTGCTGAGCACCGAGAAAGCTATAAAAAGATTTTGCATGAGTCTTCCAGCATTTTTTCCTTCATGGTACACTTAGAAAATGATCATTTGGGGCGGCACACTTTGATAAACTGACCATTTGACGGGGTCCTCACAGCGAAGGCGACCAGCCCTTGGCGTGTAACCAGCCCAGGCCCCACCCTGCTGCCCAGAGAAATTGGGGGGGGGGGGGGGGGGAGGGGGGAGTCAACCTCTCTGTACACCTGGAACTCATCCAGGGAGCACCAGGTGTTTGGAATCTCTGAACTCGATGACGGCAAACAGCACTTCACCCATTAAAATCCTACCATTGGATGGGGTGGGAATCCCCAGAGAGACAAAGTCATGGTCAAGTTGGAATTCCTTGGCTACAGTGACGATGGGGACCCCAGGCTTTTCAGTTAGTAGGTACCAGCGATATCCCCCAGGAAACGCTCAACAGTCCTACTCATTAAGTCAGACACAACTTGGCCTTGAGGCTTTCGGGAGCCCTTATCTCTGGATATTAGGTGGGTCACTATCACATACTGTCCGACTTAGGATCATTGAAGTATTGCTTCTTTGTCATTGTCCTGTGCATCTCAGCCGGAATGTGTTCCATTGGCCTATACATGCTTCTGCTTATCCATCTCACTAAACTCTGAGTTCTTTTAACATGGGGACTGTGTCTCAGCTGTCTTGAGTCCCCAGATCCTGGCATAAGGAAACAGGGAAACAACAGTGGTGAATGAGTAAGCAATTAAAGTATAAAATTATATTTATAAAGAAAAGGAGCTAGAATTGGTTTGATAGCGCCTCTTTTTAAGCTGCTAACTGCTGCTTTTCGCTTAGAGTTCACTCACTTTCTGAGTGTGCCACACGCAGGACCGGATCAAGCAGTGTTGAAGGAGTTTGGGACTACAGTTTTCCCCTTATCCCCACAGAGAAGCTCAGTGCCGTATCTGCAAATGTCTCCCATCGACTCCGCCTTCTGCTGGGATGACCTGTCCTGGTTTCGGACCATCACTCACCTTCCCATCATCCTGAAAGGGATCCTGACCAAAGAGGACGCAGAGTTAGCCATGAAGCACAACGTGCAGGGCATCATCGTCTCCAACCACGGAGGGCGGCAGCTGGATGACGTTCCTGCTTCTGTAAGGAGGAGGACCTCAGAGGGAGGAGGGAGGGAGGGAGGGAGGGTGGGAGGGTGTGTGTGTGTGTGTGTCTGTAGAGCAAAGTACTCTGTGCAGTTTGGTGTGCACCGTCCCCTCTCTCTTATCACTTATGTTGGTATGTGTGTACCTTTTAAAGATTTTTTTAATACCCTATTTATAAAATAATTTTTATTGATTTCAGAGAGGAAAAGAGTAGGGGAGAGAGAGAGAAACACTTCATAATGAGGGAGAACCATTGATCGGCTGCCTCCTGCACGCCCCACAATGGAGATCAAGCCCCCAACCCAGACATGTGCCCTGAACGGGAATCGAACCGTGACCTCCTAGGTCATAAATAGACACTCAACCACTGAGCCATACCAGCCAGGCTAAGGACTTTTAATAATAGCCTCATGTGTAGCAGGCTGTTTTTATACACTTTACGTTTATTATCCCTAAATCTCACAACAATATTAGTATCCCCATGTTGCAGATTGGAGTGCTGGAGTTCATCGGCGTTAAGTAACATCTCCAGTTCTCACAGTTAGTAAGTCATTGCGAGGGGGGGTGGGGGGAGGGTTGCTGTTAGAGGTGTTTCCGAAGCACCGAGGTCCCAGCCTCCAGGAAGCAGCACTCAGTGGGAAGGCTGCCTGTCTGCCTGGATCACAACCTCACATTTTCTCAGATGACTCAACTCAGGAGGAACAGTATGTCACTTACCCTGATAGATAACCGTTCTTCTCAACACAACTTTAAAGTGCCCGGGATTCCTTTGTAAACATTTAGGACACTCTGTAATTTTTCCCATAAAGTGGATTTATGTCCATTAGATATGGAGTTGGGGAAAGAAAATGAAGAGGAGAGAGGCAAGGAAAGAACATCTAAATTGGAATTCATTGTTGCTTTATCTCCATGAAGATACATATTTTCATGAAGCTTATTTTCCAGATTCTTCAATTGCTGCTTGACTCATTTGAAGAAAGTGGATTTTTTCCCTCTCTATTTTTGGCCCTTTTACTATATATGTAGGACATGTGCAGTGCAATTATAAAACATACAAAAGCCAAAGAAAGTAACAGGTACCCCTATTTTTATCACTATCATTAGTGGCAATATTTTTGGAATTATTTTTATAAACTCTTTAATGCACATACAACATTTTAGGTTTTAAAATGATACATATTTTTAATTTTCTTTTTTTCACACAAATATATTAAGGGCATCATGTTATTTCAATATATATTCCCTTATTTTTAATAGTATGAATGGACAATGTATGATTTTTTAAAATTTACTTTCCAATTGCAGCTGACATACAATATTACATTAGTTTGTACAGCATAATGATAAGACATTATCATTACAATATCATTGACTATGTTCCCTAGGCCCGTAGTCGGCAAACTGTGGCCCGAGAGCCACATGCGGCTCTTTGGCCCCTTGAGTGTGGCTCTTCCACAAAATACCACAGCCTGGGCGAGTCTATTTTGAAGTAGTGGTGTTAGAAGTTTAAGTTTAAAAAATTTGGCTCTCAAAAGAAATGTCAATCGTTGTACTGCTGGTATTTGGCTCCGTGGACTAATGAGTTTGCCGACCACTGCCCTAGGCTGTCCTCTACATTCCTGTGACTGCTTTTATAACTGGCAATTTGTGCTTCTTAACCATAAAAGGATGGTTTATGTAACAGACTTGCTATCGTTGAACACCTCTATTGCTTCTGGCTTCTGCTGCTTTAAACAATGCCTCGGTGGCCATCCTTAAAGCTTTAGCACATCCTCAATAACTCTTGTAAGACAAACAGCAGGAAACACAGAAGCTACAGGGTTAGACTCCTGGCTCTCCCCCCTGCGGAGGGCTCGCAGCGGTCTCCATGCTCTGAGTCAGCCTCGGGCCGCGCGTGTTCTGCTCCAGGTGGACGCCCTGCCGGAAGTGGTGGCTGCTGTGAAGGGGAAGCTGGAGGTGTACCTGGACGGCGGGGTCCGGACGGGCAACGACGTGCTCAAGGCTCTGGCCCTGGGGGCAAAGTGTGTCTTCCTGGGGAGACCGGTCCTGTGGGGTCTTGCCTGCAAGGTGAGGCCAAAGGGAAGGCCAACTTGGAGGTACCGAGTTCCTCATTCCTTCGAGTGCTTTTCTGTGGTCTCCTCCCCACCCCCACCCCTCTCCACCCAAGCTTACCTTCTCTCCAGGTGCCGCAGATTCCCAGAGAAGGGTTCCACCTGGCCCACACCCCCAGGCTTCCTCTGCAGCACACTGCACGTTTTCCAGAGCCCTCACCCCTTCTCCTCTTGGCGTTTCTTTATTTCACTGATCACCCATGCTCCTCACCACGTCTCCCTATCTCTGAGCACACCTAGAATCTATATCAGCTCATGGTCACAATGTTCCTTCCCCTCTCTCTCTCTCTCTCTCTCTCTCTCTCTCTCTCTCTCTCTCTCTCTCTCTCTCTCAGGGAGAACATGGTGTTGGGGAAGTTTTGAGCATTTTGAAGGATGAGTTCCACACTTCCATGGCCCTTACAGGTGAGTGTCCGACTCTCTTCCTGATTTGAAAGTGGGAGGTCTAAAGAGCAGGAGGGTGGCCCCCCTTCTAGCCGCCGCTCCCCAGCCTGGGGACGCCAGCAGAGACAGCAGGAAAGATATGTCCCTGACAAAGGTTTGTCGTTGACACATCTTAACCATGAACGCATAGTCTATATAACAAACTTGCTATTGTTGGACATCTGGATTGCTCCTAAGCTTCTGCTCTTTTAAGCAATGCATCAGTGAGCATCCTCAGAGCTTTAGCACATTCTCAGTCACCTCTGTAAGTCAGACTGCAGGAAACACAAAAGCTACAGCTCCTACTTCCTGGTCCTTGCCCACTGGGAGCTCTGCTGTCCGTGATTAAGGTGTACGAAGGTCAACGTAGTGTCACATTATGGGAGCGAGGCCTGCAGGTTGCTCTGGACTGTTCGGAGCATATCAGACTCTCTGGGTGTGGCTCTGGGTGTCAGTATAAAACAGTACTCATGGACTGTGAATAGTCGAGAAATTATGTCGAAGAGGAAGTACAGAGGGACCCAGGAGAGATAGAAACAGGGAGGAGAAGCATTGTCCTCTGTAACCACAGACAGCAAGACAAACGTGTCTCAAAATTACATGGGTTTCGATCAAAAATGAAATTATTGTGGAGTAGCGCTCATAAAAACTTCTACATTTTCAGCAAAGCCTGGAGTCCCAGTGTTCCCAAAAACAGTGGTTCCCAACTACTGGTGCTGGCTTTCCTCTTCAAGGGCCTTTGGATTGACGTTTTTAGTTTGTATTTTTCTAAGTAACTCATTTCCAAATGACCCGACTTCACCGAGTTCTTCCCCTGAGGAGGGGTGGGAACTGAGAGCATATTGGGAGCCGCAGGGGAGGGGTGAGGAGACCTGCAGGTCTGTGGATTCCAGGAGGCTGAGGTGACTGTCCTCCCTCGTGTCCCCCACTTCTTGCAAACTGGTGTCCAAACTTCTTTTCACAATAGCCTGATGGGAAACTCAATAACAAAGCTTCATCATGCCACCAAAGTGAGCACCTGTTCACCACTCCCATGTTAATGGCCGCTATTAACTATTTCTGAGACAGAGTGGGACACCTTTTGTAATGGACAGAGAAAAAGGAAAGGAAAATCAGGATTATGGGCACTCTGTGCCCGACTCTTTGTACTCCTCTCCCTTCTGATCGTTCTACAGGGAGATGTACTGTTTAAGTGTATAGAAACAGCAGTGATGCCAACCAAACAAGGGGCAGAGAAGAGGGTTCGAGAGGAAGGGAAAGGATAGGAAACCAGACTAAAGGGCATCCCTGGGCATCCTGTAAGAGACACTGCTGCAGGTAAGACACCCCCCACCCCCAGACTCCTCCCTGGAGAGAGGGGATCTTAGGTGGGGGGACTGTGCATTTGATGGAGCTCAGCAAAATACAGAACCTCGGTGTGCAGCCCGGAGGTGGTGTCACTCCCCATTCCCTCCCTACACAAGGCATGTAAGACGCTACCTAAAACTGGTGCCAGGAGGCAGCCAGTCAGGAATCACCTAACTCCCCTGGAAATGTGTGCTAGTTCCCCCTAATATCTCTGTGACATCACAGCCCTGGGTGGAGAACCCTGTAACACTATTGCCGAAAACAAAGGGAGTTGAAAAGTATTGGCTTTCCCAGCTGGGAGACCAATTTTCTGAAATTTTTATATTTACAAAAAGGTTAAAATGATTTGTCTTGAAAAAAAAAAAAAAATGCCCGCATATAAATCCCATCACCTGAAGGCTGCACAGACCTCACTGCGTTCTCATCCCTCATCCGAAGCGGGAGAGGGTTTTTATAAAGATTTATTTGAGCCAAACAGAGGGCACGTACGCCTGGATGCAAGAGAGGCGAATGTTTCGAAAGAAATAAATTTCCAACAGAGATAAGTGCTTCCAAGAAAAGACAGTTTGCCAGCTGCCCTTACGCATTTGGAACTGAGGAGGGAAGGTCACATGGGGACGGGTGACAGAACAGTTAACCCTGCCTGCTCTTTCCCGGGAGCTGGCTTCTGAGAAGAGGCATCAGGGCCTTGCAAAGGTGCCTGAACCGGGAGGCACAGAAAGCATGGACAGGGCTGCTGAGGCAAAGCTCACCTTTTACTGAAGACAGTATGTGCCTCGAGTATGATTCCCCACCACGCTCTGCCCAGCTGGGAATCTCTGATCAGGTCACCCTGTGAGGTTACTTTCCGTAACCCCCCTTTTTTCACAGTTCAACTAATTTCCTGTGGCACATCATCACAGAGCCTGTCCTGATCTCTGTGCTCCGTGAGGAGGTCTGCCCAAGGCTCTGAAATCACTGTCCCTCCTGGGAGAGCCATCGAGGCCCGCACAGTGACGTCTGCCGATCAGTCCAGCGTGCAGGCTCTGTGTGCGCAGTCACCCAGGCAGGCAACTCCTTCCTCTGTTTCCACTCTGAGGAACAGAGCCTCTTTTGACTCATATTTTTTGTGAGGAACACATTTTGCTCAAGTTGTGTTTGGGGAGGTGAAGGGGCATACATCAGAGGCATAGAAAGGAATTCCAGGCGGACATTACACATCCTGTTGTTCAATTCCAGCAGCCTTCTCATCGCCAGGGAGATTTCACTGCTTCCTTCAGCCCTCAGTTCTCCAGCCCATAAGCCACCCAGATGCTCTCTCCCTCCTCTTCTGCTTTTTAAAATATATCTATTGATTATAGAGAAGAAGGGAGAGATAGAAACATCAATAATGAGAATCACTGGCTGGCTGCCTCCTGCACGCCCCACACTGGAGATCGAGTCTGCAACCCGGGCATGTGCCCTGACTGGGAATCGAACCGTCGCCTCCTGCTTCATAGGTCAGCCTTCAACCACTGAGCCACCTCGGCCAGGCCCCTTCTACTTCTTATCTGAAGTCCCTTTCTGGAGCCGCCGTGTGTAATCTCAGCTCCAATCCTATTGCGTTCTAATGAGGACCCTTTACTGCAGAGGGGGTTTCACTTTTCAGAACTCCTCCTGAGAAGACAGGAAATACCCCATCTCCTAAGCTGTCCCTGACTCATTTCCTCCTTAACATGCACGTCCTACCTGAGCCTATCAGGACCCAGATCAAGGTGAAGGGTATCTACTACACACACGCATTGCTTTAAAAATGCCAAAAGAGGACCCACGCACAGGCTCCTGGAATAATTCCTGAGGCAAACAGAATGGCATCGTTCGTTAAGCTTTTGAACCCCTTGTTCTTTTAGGCTGCCGGTCGGTTGCTGAGATCAACCAGGACCTGATCCAGTTCTCCAGGTTGTAAGGAAAGAGCTGGGGACAGGACTGCCGAGGCAGCCCACGGGAAGACCAGACCAGAGCCTATGTGTGGCACCATCCTGCCCAGGCCCTGTGCCATCCAGCGGCTCAACCACTTCACCTCCCGGCCCCAACCCTCCTCTGCCTCACTGCTCTTTATATGCTGTTCTCTCGCCCGAAATCCCCCTCTGAAGGAAAAGGGCGCGTCAATGATGATTGACTAGGGCAGTGGTCGGCAAACCGCGGCTCGCTAGCCACATGCGGCTCTTTGGCCCCACTTCTAACGCCACTTCTTCAAAATAGACTCGCCAAGGCCGAAAACCAACTTCTGCGCGTGGGCCATGAGGTTTCAGTCGCACTGTACGTGTGCCCCCGCACGTGGTATTTTGTGGAAGAGCCACACTCAAGGGGCCAAAGAGCCGCAGGTGGCTCTTGAGCCGCGGTTTGCCCACCACTGGACTAGTGATGAAATTCTTGCAATATCCTCTACATCTCTATGAAACATCATTGGGCATCTGCATTCTGGACAGAGGAGCAATACATATAAAGTATCCCCCCAACAAAAAATCATTCCCCACTCTAAAAATACCAGGGAAATAACAGGGTTTAAAAGAGGCTGCGGAGCCATGCAGACAAGGGATTAAGAGGCAGGACTGCCACTGGCAGACGGGGTGGCTTGGGGAAGTCACATAAGCTCAGTGTTTTCTTGGCCTACTCCCCGGCTTCACCTTGGCCCCTAGCAGGACGCAGCGTCACGCACAGCGAAGCGTGGGACCCTTCCTAGACCTTCATTCTTCGGGATTTAACCTCTAGAGCTCAGAGCTCTGCCTCAGACTCCATTTGTGTCACGTCCACAGCTTTGGTCTCATTCTTTTCACATCAGAAATAAGAATATCTCAGTACCAAACTGTCCTTGGTGGTGCGAAAGAATAACAGCCTTGAAAATATGGCATGAAACCAGAGAAATCATTGATAGAATGACATCCACTCTTTTAACCCCTTCACAACCTCGTCAGATTTTTTTTTCATGCTTGTTAGACATGAGCAGAGCAAGACAACGCACCAGGTATAGAGACTCCTCAGGGCAGAGCAAGGGGCAAAACTGGAAAAGCGAGAACCTTGTCCCCAGGGTGACCTGTCCTCCCCTGTCTTTCATATCCTCCTAAAGATCACATCCAGGCCTCCGTTATAGTTCAGCTCCAGGCCCAGAGAAGCAGCAAAAGCAGAGAAGTGATGCCATGGCTGCCTCCAGACCAGTCACATTGGCTAGTGCCCCCCTGCCCTGGCCCCGAGCACCCCGTGGAGACCACCACCCTGGAAGAGCACAGGAGGAAAGATCATGGATAGTCTGTTCAGACCCTCCCCGGGGACCTCCCCTAAGATTCTCACCGGCAGGAGAGGGAGAAGTATGATCAGGACAAAGGACCCAGTGCACAGTCTCCCCCGGAGCCATTCCCTCTCCCATTCTTCCCTTTACGTGACCCCACAAGACTTATGAGGGGAGCAATGGGCAGTGGCACTGCTAACCCCCCACCCACCCCCCGAGCCTGTCTCTAAGTCCTGCTGTTCTCTCCTTCTCAGTGAGCCAGAGCAGCTCACTCTATCCTCTTCTGTTGCTTCTTCTATGCCCTTCCTTGTTGTCACGGTCCTAAGTATATTTTGGCTGCCATCATGGACCCAGTGCCCTTTGGCTCAGTGCTGTGTACCCCTTCCCTTTGGCTATCCCCAGCCCCCACTTTCCTTAAATAAACTCAAATCTCCTTCATCCACATCTGAGATGGCTATTCAGTCTGCCCACGCATCACCGACTTGAACCTTTCGATGCTCTGATCACCTTACTGGCTGGCTAACTTGTAAAATCCCCCAGTTTTCTCTGTGATAACTTTACTTGTGAGGACTTCTAAGCAGGCATGATGGCCAGTCCTAACATCACCAGCTGGGTGCTTGACTTAGCCATTCCAGGTTGGTTTGGAGTGAGAGTGAGCATCATGAAAGCAAGTTGTGGACATAATGGAGTTCACTGACATTCCAGGAGAGTCTGGCATAAATCCTCCCTGTGTGCTTCTGCCTGGGTGTCAACCTTACTCTTTTGGTCAGGGACACACGTGTGTTATTTCTGAAGTCATTTTTCCTTCTGGACTCAGATGGCTAGATCCAAGAGCCCAAGGAAAAGGAGCAAAGTCATGATAAGGTACTGCCAGAGGCTGTGCTGGGGGGGGAAGGAGGGGGAGCGGTTCTCGGGCCAGTCAGAAAGCCTGCGTGCTAGAATGCACGGTGACCTTCTCCACTGGAATGTGTTCAATAATGGGATGGAATACTGGGCATCTAAGAGATAAGCCCTCATTCTGATAAAGAGAGTCAGCTGAGAAGCCACTGCAGGGTCAGGCTGCCTGACGGAGATTCCCACGTCACTGTCTTCGAGAAGTTTGGCAAGACTACACGCATCCCTGTTTTCTTCTGTCAAACCCTAACTGACGTGAAAACTCAGTGGCAGAAGGACTTCCGTTTCCTAACGCAGGGTGTGAGGAGCTTAGAGGTCTCCACTCCTAACGAGAAGTCAAAAGCTGAGCAAACTGAAAACTTAATTCCGCCAAGTCCCTCCGAAAAGTGAGGTCACAGGGCACACCACTGCCCCCCACTGGAGAGACGGGCAGACCCAGGGAATCACAACTTACCTGAGCGGGAATCTGTGAACAAACCTCCATGAAGAGTCATAGGGTTTTGTCGAGGTGACCAGTCTGAAAGTTAAAAACTCCAGGGCGGGCCCCATCCCAGGATGCCCCCAGGCTTCTGTTTTTCCTCCGGGAATTCTACCTGGTTTACTTCCCGGTTCTCTCAGTGAGGACAGGACACACCTCCCCTAGAGGAGGAGGGGAAAGGAACCATTCTGAAATGTGCCCGCCAGAGCCCCCTGCTCTTAGCAAGACCCTAACCTCCCTGGGAGGTGGAAAATACCCAATCCAGCCCCCCTGTAGCCACCCTGTCCCACCCAAGGGGGGCGGTAGGGGACCGGGAAGCACTGGTCAGGTTCACAGGCCAGCACCACAGCTTCTCACCAAAACACCGAGACCTAACCGAAGGACTAAAAACACTAAGACGTTCAGAGTCCTGGACTGTTTGTGTATCCTTCCACTCATTCGTTCACTCATTCATTCCCTAATATGTCGTACACTGCTAATCCTCATGGGGAGATAAAGATGTATAAAATAGAAACACTAGTCAAGCATGCAACAGTTTTCGAACACAACTAGACCCCTAACCTCATGACACAGGCCATAGAAGTGGGCGGTTATCACTGGACAGCTTCCCCCAGACCTCTCCGGGGGGGAGGGGGGGGGGAGCAAAATTGATGTCTGGATATATTGGGTGGGAAAGGTCTCCTCCCGCACAGCATAGCGATTGGAGCTGCTGCCACCACTGCAAATGTCTCAGCTTTGCAAAATGGCAACACCCCGAGAGAGGAGACGGGAACTAAAATATACACACACCCCCGCCACCCCCCACCACCCCCCTCCACCCACCCCGCATATCTACTTCACAGGCAAAACCCCCACTGCGCTGGGAGACTCTCCTAGTCTCCCTGAAATTCACAGATTGTGGTTCCCCCACAGCCAGCACCCCTGAGGGTGTCCTGCTGAGGGTGGCCTTGGGGCTGGCCTTCTCTTCCCCTGCTCTGGAGGGAGAGGAGATAGAGGCTGGAGTCCGCACTCTGCAGTAGGAGGGGTCCTGGGACAGGCGTGAGCGATGACACGGAGCCGATAGAGGCCACGATAAAAAGGCCGGGCCAGAGGGGAGGGCACAAGACTCCGGTCTGCCTCCAGGGGACAGGCTCAGGCTCAGGCTCTTCCCTCTGACCGTTAGCAACCCAGCAGGTCAGAGCTTTTCCAAATCTCTCTCTCAAGGAGTCGTGGGTGCGGAGGGGTTGGGGGAAAGGAAGGGGTGTGTGACCTGTAGCCGCCTGGCCTCTGTTGGGGGGTAGGCCTCTTCGGGGTGGGCCTCTGCCCCACCTGCTCCCCAGCTTCCCGGTCTCTGGAGGGCACCTCTCGGTCCCCAGGTGTGCCATGGCCGGGTGGAGCTGCCTCGTGACGGGCGCAGGAGGATTCCTGGGCCAGAGGATCATCCGCTTGCTGGTGGAGGAGAGAGAGCTGCAGGAGATCCGGGCGCTGGACAAAGCCTTCAGACCAGAATTGCAGGAGGAATTCTCTAGTAAGTGAACTTGGGTCATGGGGAAATGGCAGCGCTAAGCCTGAACCCAGGCAGGCTGCTCTTTTGTTGTTGTTGTTGTTGTTGTTGATTTTTTACAGAGAGGAAGAGAGAGGGAGAGTCAGAAACATTGATGAAAGAGAGTCATCGATCAGCTGCCTCCTGCACACCCCCCACTGGGGATGTGCCCGCAAACAAGGTACTTCCCCTTGACCGGAATTGAACCTGGGACTTTTCAGTCCACAAGCCAACGCTCTATCCACTGAGCCAAACTGGTTTCGCCCAGAGTCCGTGCTCTTAACCACTAGGTTGCCTGAAAGGTTTCCTCTGGGCCTGCCTCCCACCCAACGCACACCACACAAGCAGCCACATGTCCACGGAGCCATGGCTCCACCACCGGGGGTTCCACAGCGCCCTCTCCTGGCTCCTCTGCGTCCCTGCAGGCTAGTGGGGTAGGTAGGAATTCTTCCCTTCCTTGGTGTGGGATTTCTCCCCTCTCCTGCTGCCCCCCTTTCCAGCCTTCACATTTCTCCACATATTCCAAATCCATGCGTGAGCCTCACTCCCTACAGAAGGAAATCCAAATGCTGTCCTCTGTATAGCCACTCTCCACAATCATTCCCCTCTACTCCATGAATGGGCGACTTCCCACGAGTCCTTTTGACAGCTTAGTATTGCAGGCACGCGTGACTCCGCACTGCTCCAGGTCTTTTTCAGAAGGAGATGCGTGGAAACAGATGCCTGCTATTTCCAATAAGCACTACACATTCTGATCTCTGTGCTTCGGATTACTTGTCCTCCTGTGGAATGTGCCTCCCTCCCTCCCTCTCAGCGCTCTCCCCTCCACCCCCACCCCCCTAGTCCTTGGAGACCTGGGTAAAATGCCACCTTTATCAGGAAACTCCCAGATCCAAGATGCCTCCCAGTGACCTGCCGGTGTTCACACAGAGCTCCAGAGCCAGAGCAAGCTGACCTTGCTGGAAGGAGACATTCTGGATGAGCAGTTCATGAAGAGAGCCTGCCAGGGCACCTCGGCTGTCATTCACGCCGCCTCCGTCATTGACGTCTTCAATGCCATTCCGAGAGAGACCATCAT